TATATATATATATATAATCATACTAAAAGCCCTAGGGTGAAAGGAGGAGAGAAAGAGTGGGTGAGGGAGGGGACCTAGTGCTGGCCTATGTCAAGCATTCTGAGGTGCCTACACCTCCGCTCAATCAATCAGACAATCTGGAAAGAAACTGACAGCACGGACGCCGCTGACGTCTATTAGCCGCCATTTCTTGCAACGTCTCCAGCCAAGCACAGACGGGGTCACGGGGACCCCATCCTGGAAGTCGCACAACACCAACAACACCCAAGCTCTTCGTGATCTCTTTCATGCTTTTCTGCCAAGTCATGTGCTATCCACCTCATCCTGAAAGAGGCACGGAGAACAACACTCGTCTCGGTAGACAGTGTTTCGGCCTGTGTAGCACATGAATGAGCCATCGTAGTCGATGATGCTGGTTGTTTACTCGGATTTAAATACCTGCCGCACAACCAAATACCCGTTTTCTAATCACCTCGTTACTAGCGCACCGACGCCATCCAAAGCCAGCCACGTTTCTGAGCCATCGGTGGTCATCTGTCCGGAGTGGCCATGTCTTGCACCCATACAGCAACAGCCCTTACTGTAGCCTGCTACACACGGCCCTTAAGATCCAGTAAGATGCTTATTTGATGCCACAATTGACGCAAATTAGCAAACGTGTTTCGAGCCTTTGGGATTCTTGCACTGACTTCATCATCCACACTTCCGTCAGAGCTAATACAGCTACCGAGGTATGTAAAGTTTTCCACAATCTCCAGTGATTACCCTTGAATTGTAATGGATATGTTCGCAGATGGCATGGCTTTGCACTTTGAAGGTGCAAGGCGCATGCCAAAAGATGCATGGTGGTGATCAGTCTATTTGCTTCGCGTTGGTCTTCAAATACGAGAGCGATATCAGCTGTGTACTCCAAATCGACAAGGCTCTCATCAGCAACAATTTGAACACCGGGGTTTTGAAGATCATCTAGTGTTCGCCTCATTGTTTCACCAATGACGAATTTGAACAAGAATGGGGAAAGTGGGCATCCTTGTCCGACACCACTTTTTGTAGGGAAGCTTTTGGAGAGGTCACCATACACCTTCACCGGCCCAGAAGAATGTGAATATAGAGATCTGATTACGTTTACAAACTCCTGGGGCATACCCTGTTGAACTTGTGTAGTTAACAGCACTGATCGATCAAAAGAATCAAACGCACCCTTGAAGTCAAGGGATACCAGGATTGTGGGTCGTCTGTACATGTGGCGCTGCTCTAACACCTGACGGAGTGTGAAGATGTGGTCAACGCAGCCTCTACCCGGTCGAAATCCCGCTTGATTCTCACGAGTCAAGGCTTCGCGTGCCACCGTAAGACGAAGAATCCGTGACGCCAGAAGCCTTGTCACAACAGGCGTCAAAGTCGAATCCAGTGTGATATAAGAAAAGTACCATCAAGGTTATCTGTAGCAGATTTCACCGATAACATCTTCAATACATGTGATCGAACTTCCTCGACCAAATCGATCTACTCGAGTAAGTTCAGGTGACAAAATCCACCCCATCAAAACATCATCGCTCACATGACCTAACGTTAACCTGGGGAATAGTGCTCCTGAGTGCACACTCTTGGAAAGTTAACCCGGTGGTCGCCTTCCAGAGGGACTCTCCTGCAGCTCGCACGACGGACCAGGTTCTGAAATAAATTTCGGTGCGACATCCCATTGCAAATTCGTCAACTTTTTTGAAATGCGATTTGGTGTTTAGACTTTCAGATGGATCTCCATGAGTCGTGCATTTTTACGAGTTTGTTTGTCTTACGCGCAGTCACGTTTATGGGGTGCGGATGAAATTCGGACAAGAACAACTGCCTGCTGTTCGAAACATTCGGTTGAGCATGTAGGACCTGTCTACCTGCTTGAACTTGATTCAAAAGAATCAGCGCACAACGAAAGATTCTGTGTGTCTCGGTGAGCAGTAGAGCAAAGTCTCTTTTGACCATCATTTCAGCGTTTCAACTGGCCGATGGCGGAATCCTGCTGTCACGTAGGCTCTTTTATAGCCAGTAGTCTGTGCATCAGCTCACGGAATCAATAGATCATACAAATATTTGCACGACATTGTAGTGGTAGTTGTAAATGCTTATAGTGATCTAGCTCTACTTGCTACGATCTAAATGGTGGTTTCAAGCCCTATTGACCCAGTCGTGTTCTCATATGTGAAACTCCAGCCCATGAAGATACTCGGAGTCCAGGACCGTCCATAACTGACAGAAGTCAATGGGATTTTGGGAAAACCAGTAAGGCAGCATTCGACCTTGTCCTAACCGGCCGTCGACTAAAAACCCATTGGACTACCATTAAATCGTCAGCTTTTTTAAAATCAACTTGCTGGTGGTTCTCGTTGAGGATCCGATAATCAAGAAGCGACGATGGGTTCCAAACAGACGAGGCCTTTTATCCGTGAATCAAAGTAGGGTCATAATGGGGAAGGAAAACTTCATGGTTCGGTTAGTGTGGATATTGTAGTTCATGTAAGATGAGCACTACACGCTGCTTAAGGGCAATGACAAAATTGTTTTTTGCGCATTTTCCCGTCGTATTATTTTCCCTCTTCAGTTGGTTGTCTCACTGCGAAGAGCATCTGCCAGCATAACCTGTTTGGTGGGGAGGTTTGTCCAGGGAAGTACAACCATAACAAACTTGTGACGAATTCCACCGATAATTGATGTGTAAGGCTTTCCTCTTACAGTTAATACTTGTTCCCAACTGAATCACTCCTCTGTTTGAGTAATTTTAATTCCACGTCTCTATCGCGGTCGTTATTTTCTGGTTCGCAGAAAGTTCAGTCAATCAAGCTCTGGTTTTTACCGTCAATTTCAAGTCCACGGATCACTGTATACCGTCACTTCGCTCTCATGTTGCCAAGAAGATAACTGTACAAGTTGGTATTCCGTAAAATTACAGAGAGTGGATTA